TAGTTATAGAAAAGATAGGTTGAGGACTCCACAATATTGTAGATATATATCTCAGCATTCTCCTCCTCTCCTCCTCCTCATCATCATCTTTGCTTTTTAAATTACTACTTGAATTAGCTGACAAATGCCTAGAATTACCAGTGATGCTAAACTGTTTCAGAGTAGAGTTCATAATGATGGTGAATTCAGGCTTAGTGTTTAGGACATTAATTTTCTGCCTGGTGAAGCAAGTCTCTACTTTACAGCAAGAATGCCTTGAAAATGCAGAAAATGCTAAGCTAAAACAAATACTGGAATGATTTATGGCAAAACTAATGCATGCCATCAAGCTTTTGGGTTGTGAAAGCTGTCTCGTTGGCTGCCTAAGTACTGGATTTATGCAGTTTCTCCTCATGGTTTGCTCATCTATACTGTTCAGGAAGAGACACTTTAAACCAGCAGAACTATCTGTGGTGGCATGCATTATTTCTTCACCTTACAGTCCAGTCACTGAGTGGATCTACATGTGCATATGTGCTGTCAGGGACAGAATAATTTGAGTTTATCCATCATAGCTGCAAGTCTCTTGCAAAATTAATAGGATCAAATTGCCCTAGATACACATGTTGGCATATTTCCATGAGTAAATCCTGGGTGGCTTTCAGTAGAGACTAGAAATCTACATTTTTGCATATGTAGGCATATGTAGTTCCATGTCTTTCTCTTTGTTTAGTAGGAGATTTATTAAATTAGACCAAATATTCTGTTTCACCACTGAATCAAAATTCAGTCTCAGAATGAAACTGAGTTTATTCTGAGCCTAATGGCTGGTTCACACTGCATTGAGAGGTTTAGCTGAGAGGTAGACAATTGTAACAACACCTGTGACAGCTATTGTTTCCTCTAATAGGTAATAGAGTTTGACGATGGATCTGGATCAGTACTCAGAATACAACCCTTGCGGACTCCACGGGATGAGGCCATTTATGAATGTGTGGCCTCGAATAATGTGGGAGAAATAAGTGTATCCACCAGACTCACAGTTTTACGTGGTAAGTGCTCAATTGCAAACAATTGTGCCATTGTTACAATTCCATGTCTCTGGTGTTCTTATGTAGGACCATTAAAAGGACTAGCATTGTCATAATGCATAAGTGGGAAATGAATTTAAATAAAATGTTTATAAGGGTCAAACTTTGCGCACCTTCTCTCGTTATGGGTCTTGAGGAAATGCTAATCACAGAGAGAAAAGAAAAGCCAAAAGAAGTGTTGATTTCAGATGCCAGATACCATTTTGAATTTTGGTAGAAAATCAAGAAAGGAAACAGTATATGCTACTCTTTTGTGTGCTAGCATTACTCATGCACGGATTTTTCACACCTCATTCAGCAGCTATGTTTTGCAAACTACCAAAGCTGACAATGATATTTACAAAATTAAAGGAACAACTTCTATGTGAAGATGAGTTTCTCTTAAGCAGTTGGTCAGAGCCAAGAAAAAGAAAGGCAACGTTCTTTTCTTAGTCAAAAAATATGTTTTTACTTCAGTCTTTATTTTTCTTGAATCAACATCTATTGATGCAAGTGAACTGATATGGGAATTTCCCTTCTGTGTCTGACTATATTGCTTATAAACTTTGA